TGGGGGGGGGGGGGAGTCAGTGTCCAAGCATACTACACTGATTGAGTAAAACCGTTTTCTGTTCTCTTTTGCAAAGTTGAACACTTGTTTCACCTTCACATCTTGCCGATGATCTGAAGAACAGGAACACATTATAAAATTTAACATTTCCTGTGCCATTTCCTGTGAGGTAGGTAAAGCACACCACACTAAATTTTCTACATTTTTCTTTTTTCTTAAAAAAATATTTATTTTATTTTATGTGTATGCCTGTGTGAGTTTATATGTATCACATGTGTGCAGGTGCCTGTGGGGTCAGAAAAGCGTTTGGATCCCCTGGAACTGGAGTTACAGTCAGTTGTGAACCACCTGATGTGGGTGCTGGGAACCAAACCCATGTCCTCTGCAAGAGTGCTCTTACCTACCAAATCATCTCTTCAGCCCCTAAATTCTCTTAAGTTTTCAACTGTAATTCAGATTATACCCCCACCAAGAAAGCTGTAGAATTATCAGCTTCCACATGTTTTGGTTCCTTTTGGAGGTGAGATTTTGCCGCTGTCATGTTGTACTTTTATTACTAGACATGTAGTAATTTAGAAAATTTGTAGTACAGGTGGATCTTTCCATCAAGCTCTTGGGTATGAACTTGGTTCTGGTTAAATAAAACATTTCTCTTAAGGCAATGCATAGGTGTCCATATGTCAAACTCTTGGCCAGGTGTGATGGCACATACCTTTAATCCCAGCATTCAGGAGGCAGAAGCAGGCAAATCTTTGTAAGATTAAGGCCAGCCTGGTCTACATAGCAAGTTCCAGGCCAGCTGGGACTATATGGAGACCCTATCTCAAGAAACAAAACAATAAAAAAGAAATCAAGTTCCTACTGTCTGTGAGGCAGCGTTATTTGAAGGGGTATCTGCTGGGGATGGAGCTCAGGGCTTTTACTACTGCTAGGCAAGGGCTTTGCCACTAAACTGCATCCCCAGTTTTGTTTTGTTTTGAGACAGATTCTAGCTATATAGCTTAGGCTTGCTTTGAACTTGCAATGTTGACATGCTGGCCTTGAACTCCTGATCCTCCTGCCTCTGCTTCCCAGATTCTGAGATGACAGGCATTCACCATCATACCCGCCAATTTTGTTTGCAGCTGATGCAATGCTGGGAGTGGAGCCCAGACCCTCACACATGCTAAGCAGGGGCTCTGCCTCCAAGCCACATCACCCTCGAGTGCTAAATTTAAAACCAGTCACCATAAGATATTATAATGAGATCAGAAATTGTTACTACATAAATCTATCTTCAGTTAAATTTTTAGATGTGTGCTTTTATAGATAAGTTTAATGAGATTAGAAGTCTGACCATATTTATTTGGATTTGAGGAAATCTTTATTTCTAGGGAATAAAATGCCATTTCTTATATCTGTCTCTCTAAGAGTCTAGCAAAATGGATATACCAAACCCTCCAACTTCCAAATGTATCACGTACTGGAAACGAAAAGTGAAATCTGAATATATGCGGCTTCGACAACTCAAACGGCTGCAGGCAAATATGGGTGCAAAGGTAAAAAACAGCTCCCAAGTTGTAGATTCTGTATATTTCTCCAGAGTATGGGGATTGAGGTTTTTCCTTCTCAACTTGCATTGAATTTCAACAGTCTTTTCCTTGGTTTTGCTAGGCTTTATATGTGGCAAATTTTGCAAAGGTTCAAGAAAAAACCCAGATCCTCAACGAAGAATGGAAGAAGCTTCGTGTGCAGCCTGTGCAGTCAATGAAGCCTGTGAGTGGGCATCCTTTTCTCAAAAAGGTACTTCTGGGTGTCAAGCCAGCCTCCTTGCTCCCTTGGACATGAAGTTATTTTCAGTATGACCTGTCAGACAATAAATAAGGGGACTGGAGAGATGGCTTAGCAGTTAAGAGGCTGCTCTTGCAGAGGACCCAGGTTCAGTTCCTAGTACCCACATGGTGGCTTACAGCTGTCCATAACTCCAGTTCCAGGGGATCCAAAACCCTCCTCTGACCTTCGTGGGCATTGCATGATACAGGTACATTTACATACCTTACACATAAAAACAGGTAAATAATTGTAGAAGAAAATAAGGAAGGATAATGGACACCACTATTGTAGCCAACTTTGAATAATTAGTATGACAAATGTAGCTTGAAAAGTAACCTTTGTGCCTGTTCTCCTCAATTAATGAGTATAATCATGACTTTTTCATAGAAAAACAAGACATTTACTGTCTGCTTTCCTGGGCTTTGTATCTAAGCTACAAAGCACCCCTTTTTGTATCTGTGTTCTAAGATACTAGGAAGGGCATTCCCTAGGTAGTGAACAGAAGTGTATTGATTAGAGGGACTCCCTAATTATGAACAAATTAATCAATTATTGTAAAAACAGCATTTTATCCTGGCATGGTGGTGCAAGCCTGTGATCCCAGCTCAGGAAGGAGAACAGGAAGATTGGGAGGTCAAGGTGAACCTCAGCTACATAGCAAGTTTGAGGTTACCCTGGGTTTCCTGAGATCCTGTCTCAAAAGAAAAAAAAAAAGAAAAAAAGCCATTTAGCTTTTTAGAGAGGTAATGCTTTTTTTTTTTGCCTGCATGCATGTCAGTGCACCCATGTCGTGCAACGCCACGGAGGTCAGAAGAGGGCTTCAGATTCCCCTGGAACTGGAGTTAAGGATGGTTCGTAGCCGCCATGTGGGTGCTGGGGATTGAACCTAGGTCCTCCGCAAGAGCAGTCAGTGCTCTTAACCGCTGAGCCATCTCTCCAGCCCCGAGGTAATGCTTTTTTTTAAAAATTTATTCTGTGTGCATGTGTGTGCAGGCCATGGTTCATTTGTGAAATTCAGGGGACAACTTTAGGGAGTCAGTTTTTTCTTTCCACCATGTGGGATTGAACTCAGGTTATCAGGTTTGGCAGCAAGTATAATTACCTACTGAGCCACTTTACCAGCCTGTTAATATTTTTTTTTGTCTTTTTGAGATAGGGTCTCCTTGTAGCCCTAGCTGTCCTGGAACTCACTATGTAAACCAGGCTGGCCTCAAACTTACAAAGATTTGCCTGCTTGTGTAGAATGCATAAAAGCCTGGCATTGAACCTCAGCACTGCATAAAACTGGGCATGGTGGTGTACACCTCTAATCTTGGCTCTCAGGAAAACAGAAAAGAATTAGAAAAGTGCTGAGTTCTTTTGGGAAGGAAGCTATAATGTGTCTTTTATAATTTTGTGTTTATCAGGTTTTGCTATGTAGCCTAGCTTGGCCTGAAATTCACTATCTATTCTAGGCTGGTCTCAAATGGCAATTCCCCTGCCTCAGCCTCCTAAGTGCTGGGATTACAGGCATAAACCATCATAACTGGCTTGCAGCTAATTCTGTCTTGAGTCGTGTGCTTACTGTTCCCTCTCTTTGTCGCCCCTTGTATTTCAGTGTACCATAGAGAGCATCTTCCCAGGATTTGCAAGCCAGCATATGTTGATGCGGTCTCTGAACACTGTTGCATTGGTTCCTATCATGTACTCCTGGTCCCCTCTCCAGCAGAACTTTATGGTATGTGTTGAAAACTGTGGCAGTTGTTTAAGCTCCATAATCATTTTATGCTGCTATGTGGGAGCTCCTCTTAGGGTAAAGATTGTCAGGCCATTTAACAAAGCTTTTATTTACAAAGCAGAACGTTATTGTAATTTATTCTAAAAATGTATACATCAAGGCCCAGTGAGAAGGCTCCATAGGTCAAGGTGTCTATTGCCAAGCCTGACAACCTGAGTTTGATCACCACGACCCACATAGTAGGAGAGAGCTGACTCTTGTAAGGTGTCCTCTGACTTCCACACATGTGCCCATACAGATACAGGCACACATGTACAAAATAAATACTTAAAAATAAAAATGTAGTAAAATGTTTATAAATTTTGTGTGTGTGTGTGTGTGTGTGTGTGTGTGTGTGTGTGTAGTAAGTTGCTCTAACCTGTTAGGTTTTGGTGCTCTCTAAAATTGTATTTCTGAATTGATACTGTTTTTTTAAAATTAATAAGATAAGACAAGACTCCCAGTTTTCACTTACTACTTTGACCCACCATTGTAACATTCACAGTCACATGTCTGAATCAGATGCTTGTGGCTTAAGCAGGTCCTCAGCTCTGTGCTGGTAGAGCAGTTCTTTTGGAATTCTCTAATGACAAGGTCCTACCAAGCCATCCAAGACAGCAGGGGTACACATGGACAACCGTGCTTCCATCTAAGCCTTTGTTCTGTCTCCTGCTAGGATTATTGTTCTGGTAATCAGCCCTCTCTGATGTTGCTGTTGCTCATCATCTGCCCAGAAACAGCAGTGCCACTGATTGGAATAAGACGCAGGTCTGCAGGAGGGAGTCATCTTTCTGAGTAAAATTTCAGAGCCATTTTAGGTGGTAGTTGGGGATTTAAACATGACTAGATTGTGGGGCTGCAGAGATGACTCAGCAGTTAAAAGCACTGACTGCTTTTGCAGAGGACCTAGTTTGGTTCCCAGCACCCACATGACAGCTGACTCCTGTAACTCCAGTTCCAGGGGATCCAACGCCCTCTTCTGACCTCCATGGGCATTGCATGACATGGTGCACTTGTAAACATGCAGGTGATACACTCATACACATAAAATAAAAATCATAAATACAATATTTAAAATTACTTAGAAAAAAGAATGATTGGGTTGGGACTGGGTTATAGTTGAGCTCTATGTCAGTCCTTAGCATGGACATAAAAGGAATGTATGTGTCCTCTTTAGACTCTGCTGAACCCCGTTTAGTATTATTCATTACCCACAAATACCCAAAGCCTGTATTGACATGACTTGTAGCCATGCTTTTTTATTATTGGGAAGATGGTGTGTTTTATAGACTACCCTCAGATTTTATGTTTGCTCAGTTTCTTTGCTAGACATATTCGAGATCAGGTCCTTGGAGCCCTTTCTTTTCATTTATCTGCCTTTATGAAGATGATCAGAATTGTAGACTTTTGGTGGTTGTCTAGGTTATGCCTGTACCTGTTTAATAAGGATGTTTAGTGAGTATAATGAGATCATAGATGAAAGTACTGTTAAAAAAAAAAAAAAGTATGTTGTCAAGTTCTAGGTGGTGTTCTAAATATCATTGTTAATGTCAAGGTCTACATTTGGTAGTTAGTACCAACTATACTGTTTTGTTGTTGTTGTTGTTGTTGTTTCCCCTTAAAAGTGCCATTGCCCAATCTAATCTGTTTGAGATTTTGTTGGCAAAGCAAAAAGGCTGATGTTTAAAATTCAGGAAAATCTGTATCCAAAGAGATTTTTTTCAGGAGATTCAGAAGCTAAAAATAGCTCAGCAAGGATTCCATTAAATAAGAAAAAGGAGATATAGAGTGACTCATGGAAGGATCACATCTGGTTTTGCTTCAGGTAGAAGATGAGACAGTTTTGTGCAATATTCCCTACATGGGCGATGAGGTGAAGGAAGAAGATGAGACTTTCATCGAGGAGCTGATCAATAACTATGATGGCAAAGTTCACGGAGAAGAAGGTAGTGGTGCGGGCTTACTGGGAAAAGACGTGTTTGGAGTAGTGTGGCCTTTGCTACAGCATCGTCCCTGTGGGTGCACACTGAAGAGTAGTATAGTGTGATCATGTGACTGGGAATTTCAATTTTATATTAAAAATATCATAGTTAAGCCGTGTGTGGTGGCGCATGCCCTTAGTCCCAGCACTCGGGAGGCAGAAGCAGGCAGATCTCTGTGAGTTCAAGGTCTACATAGTGAATTCCAGGCCAATTTATCGTCCTCTTTTTTTTTTTTTTTTTTAAAAAAAAAAAAAAAAAAAAAAAAAAAAAAAAAAAATCCTAGTTAAATTCCAAAAGGAGGGACTGGAGAGATGGCTCAGCAGTTAAGAACACTTGACTGTTTTAGCAGAAAACCCAGGTTCAAATCCCAGCACTCACATGGCAGCTAACAACTGTCTGTAACTCCAGTTCCAGGGGCTGCAACAGCCTCTTCTGTCCTCCACGGGCATTGCATGACACGGGTGCACTTACCTACATGCAGGCATAACACTCATACACATAAAATTTAAAAAAAAAATTCTAAAAGGAGCTGGGACACCAAAAGAATTTTAGTAATCTGACTAGGAACATAATTCATTGTACAAATAAATGTAGTATTAGGTATTAGAAATGCTCCATAGGGGCTAGAGAGAGATGGCTCAGCGGTTAAGAGCACTGGTTGCTCTTGCAGAGGACTGGGGTTTGACACCACTACGCCTGTCTCAAAAAAAATAAAAATAAAAAGACCAAAAAAAATTAGCAAGCAAAAAATTAAAGACCAGATAAATGGTTGAAATAGAGGAGAATGTCACAGAAGCTACTGAAATTCCATTTCTTTTTTTTTTTAATATTTATTTATTATCTTTATTTTATGTGTATGAGTGTATTGCCTGCATGTATGTGAGTGCACCTGTGTCATGCAATGCCTCAGAGATCAGAAGAGGGCTTCAGATTCTCCCAGAATTGGAGTTAAGGACGTTAGTAGCCGCCATGTGGGTGCTGGGAATCGAACCCGGGTCCTCTGCAAGAGCAGTTAGTGCTCTTAACCACTTAGCCATATCTCCAGACCCTGAAATTCCATTTCTTAAAAAAAAAAAATTAACAAATAAATATTTTTCAAAAAAGAAGTGCTCCATAAGTCCATCCGAGGCCATTTTGTTCTTCATTTCCCTGTTCTTCATTTCATAGACAAAGAGATTATGAACAGCAATGCACATAGTCTCTTTGTCACACTACAGAGGATTTGTGGCCCAGGAAACCTCTGGATTTCTCAAAGATTGGTTTAAATATTCCTGTTCTGAAAGCAAAGCATTTGGACTTAGTTGTAATTCTTTCTATAAATTTTTTTTTTTGGTTTTGTGGGGGCGGGGGTTGGTCTTTTTGAAAAAGGGTCTCCCTTGTAGTCCCAGCTGGCCTGGAACTTGTCATATAGACCAGGATGGCCTGAATCTCACAATCCACCTGTCTCTGCCTCCCGAGTGCTGGGATTGAAGGTATGTACCACCACACCCAGCCATCTATAAAATTTTTTAAACTTTTTTTTTTTTTGGAGCCAGGTGTAGTGGTGCATGCCTTTAATTCCAGCACTTGGGAAACAGAGGCAGGGAAATCTCTGTGACATTGAGCCCAACCTGGTCTACAGAGTGAATTCCAGGCCAGCTGGGGTTACGGGTAGACCGTCTCAAACACTTCCTACCACCTGCAAAAAAAAAACACATTTATTTTAAAGTGGGAATCCACACATGCCATAGTGCACTTGTGGCGATCACAGAATAACTTGTCAAAGTTGGTTCTTTCCTTCTACCATGTGGGTCCCCAGGGATCAAACTCAGGTCATCAGACTTGGTGGCAAGCACCTTTTTAGCTGATGAGCCATCTCACCAGCCTTAGTTGTTATCCTAGAAAAGGTCATTTGTGAATAAGAAATATGAAGAGGAGCCCAGTTTTGTGGTACACGCCTTTAATATCAGCACTTGGGAGGCTGGGGAGATAGAGGCAGGCAAACCTCTGTGAGTTGGAGGACAGCCTGGTCTACATAGCAAGTTCCAGGTCAGCTGGGGCTACTGGGAGACCCTGTCTCAAAAAGACAAAATAAATAAATAACACAAAAACCAAATGATGGGCCGGAGAGATTGCTCAGTGGTTAAGAGTACTTGCTTTTGCAGAAGACCTGAGTTTGGTTCCCACCACCCACCTGGAGGTTTACAACTGCCTCTCACTCCAGTTCCAGGGGATCTGACACCTCCTTCTGGCTTCCTCAGGCAATAGCCACACACATGGAATATGTGTATATATGTATATGTATACACACAGACTCACACATGTAGGCAAAATACTCAAAAATAAATCTTTGGGGACTAGAGAGATGGAGTGGTTAAGAGCATGCACTACTCTTGCAGAGGACCCGGGTTTGATTCAAAGCACTCACATGGCGGCTAACAACCATCCTCAACTCCAGTTCCAGGGGATCCAACACCCTCTTCTGACCTCTGTGGGCATTGCATGACATGGGTACACTTACATACATGCAAGAAAAACACACATACATATAAAACTAATAAATAAAATATATTTTTTTAAATGTTTAAAAGAAAAAGACCCACGTACTTAGGATGAATGCGGCATGAAGTGACTGCTGCTCACCCTTCTGATCCTCCTGTTGCAGAGATGATCCCTGGATCTGTCCTGATTAGTGATGCTGTTTTTCTGGAGTTGGTAGATGCCCTGAATCAATACTCAGATGATGAGGAGGAAGGGCACAATGACACCTCAGACGGCAAACAGGACGACAGCAAAGAAGATCTGCCAGTAACAAGAAAGAGGAAACGGCATACTATGGAAGGTGAATAATCTGCCTCCACGTTCCATTTTGAAATTGATAGGGACAGGAAAGAAGGGAAAACTTAAATTAAAGACCATTTATGCTTCGCATTGGTCCACTTAAAAGAGAAACATGATCATTAGCTGATAGCTTAAAATGACTGAACTAGTTAACAAAGAAAGTAGGACATGGGGCTGGAGAGATGGCTCAGTGGTTAAGGGCACTGACTGCTCTTGCAGAGGACCTGGGTTTGATTCCCAGTACCCGCATGGCGGCTACGAACCGTCATTAACTCCAGTTCCAGGGGAATCTGAAGCCCTCTTCTGACCTCCACGGCATTGCACGACATGGGTGCATTCACATTATATATATATATATATATATATACAGGCAATACACTCATACATATAAAATTTAAAATACATATATATTAAAAAAGAAAGTAGAGCTTACAGAATAATCTTTTTAATTCTACAACTAATGTGTTTGGAAAATCCAGAAAGTCACAAATATTTCTTTGTAGACTTAAAAAAATGTATATATATAAAGATGTGGTGGTATATACCTTCAATCCCAGCACTCAGGAGGAAGAGGCAGGCAAATCTCTGTAAGTCTGGCCAGCCTGGTCTACATAGTGAGTTCCAGGCCACCTAGGGCTACGTAGTAAGACCCTGTCTCCAAAAAAAGGACGTACATAAATCAGTATGCTCATGTTATTCAAAATTGAGATCATGTGCTATATAAACTTTTTTTTTTAGTCTTTTTCTTTTTTTGAGACAGGGTCTCCCTGTAGTGGGGCTGGCTTGGAACTCACTATGTAGACCAGACTGACCTTGAAGTCACAGAGATCTTCCTGTGTATATATAAATTTTTGTCTTTTTAATTTAATCTTAGGAATATTTTTTTGTGTTAGTAGTATTTAATTCAATAATTACTGGGCTGGAGAGATGGCTCTGTGGTTTAAGTGCTTGCTGGGCAAATGTGAGGACTGGAATTTGTATTCTCAAAATCTACACACATGAAAATGGAAAAAGAAAAAAAGAAAATATTTAGTTACTGAGTTATGCTATATGTTATTTAGTTGTATGTTTAGGGACATAGTATCTTTCTCTTACTACAGAAATTCCAGTGGCAATCTCGTTCTTCAGCATCAGTATTATGATAGGATTAGTTCCTCTTCAGCCCTCCATGAAAACTCCTTTTTACCTGTAGCTTTTAACAGGGACTGTAGATTTTGTTCTCAATATCTAGTCACTATTTAGATGTACAAAGCTCTCATCAGAATAACTAAGCAGGGAAAATTCAACAACTTTGCCCGAACTCAGTTCACTGTCATTTCCAATTCAGGCAACAAAAAGAGTTCCAAGAAACAGTTCCCAAATGACATGATCTTCAGTGCCATTGCTTCCATGTTCCCTGAGAATGGTGTCCCGGATGACATGAAGGAGAGGTAGGGAAAGCTACTCTGCTCAGGCCATACCTAGGGTATTTGGACATTTTTATTCAAGCCAATTTTCTTTGGTTAATAAAAAGCCCAGTTAGCTGGGTGTGATAGTACACACCTTTGATCTCAGCATGTCTATGTAGGGAGTTCCAGGCCAGCCAGTAGAGGCAGGTGGATCTCTATGAGATGAAGGTCAGCCTGGTCTCCATAGCAAGTTCCTGGCCATCTGGGGTGACAGAAAGACCCTGTCTCATAAAGACCAAAACAAAGCAAAGCAAAACAAAAGTTCTGTTGATGGTAATTATGTCATAATTTGCCTGCATTTCTGATTATTTCTTGCTTACTTACCTCTGAATGTCCCTTGCTCTATTAGGGATCATTATGTGCTGGCCTTTGAGTAAGCCTGGGCAGAAAACTTGCATCCTGCCATCCTTCCAGATAGTTAGACCAGCACTGTACTTACGGAGTCTTTCTCTGCCCTTACTTTCACATTTATACCCAGCCCTGCAAAATGACAGTGGTGTACCCACTGAGCTGTACACCATCCCCTGATCCACCAAGCCCATAAAACCCACCCATCCTGGAGAAATTTCCTTGGAGGAACTCTTCTCTCTCTTTTCTTAAATAGGTATCGAGAGCTTACGGAGATGTCCGACCCCAATGCACTTCCCCCTCAGTGCACACCCAACATCGACGGCCCCAATGCCAAGTCTGTGCAGCGGGAGCAGTCTCTACACTCCTTCCACACACTTTTTTGCCGGCGCTGCTTTAAATATGACTGCTTCCTTCACCGTGAGTGGCCTACTCTGTTTGACATGCTCCCCACCCCATCCCTTCCCTTTGATCTGCTTTGTTGTGTGGAGTTCCTAGCCTCTGCTCTGGTGAGGGCTTCACAAAGGGCCAGCTCTGTTTTCTCTAGCTCAGTTACAGCACTATGTGGTTTGTGATGGGGACCAAGCACTACCTTTGTTCCTCAATGCCTCCTGGCTTTGAAAAGATTGTGTTGCTATCAGAGTGGCTACATTTTGTATACCTTGCTGATCGAATTCTGACTCCTAAAATAGCTCCCTAACTCAGTTTTCTTCCTCCCTCTTTTCTCAAGTGGATAGAACATTGGAAACACAGGTCATTTTGTTTTGTTTCTGTCTTCCAGCTTTTCATGCCACTCCTAATGTATATAAACGCAAGAACAAAGAAATCAAGATTGAACCAGAACCATGTGGCACAGACTGCTTCCTTTTGCTGGTAGGTTCTTAAGCTGTTCTGGCATTGTTAACTGTGTTGAAAATTGAGCAGGAAATGGCCTTTGGACTTTCTGTCCCTGGGAACACAGGCTAAGTCTGCCAGTACACAGCACTGCAGGGGTCTTAAGGAGCTCCCCAGACATGGTAGCACTCTGAAGTCTTTCTGATAGAGTGATGGAGTAAGATTTGAAGAACATTATAAAGAGTTTTCTGCTCTAAATATCATCTACTTAGATTTCATTGTCTGAGTCTATATTGTTAGTTTTGGAAGTAAGAGTGCTGAGGGTGTCTGTAAGAGGTAGAGTGCTTGCCTGGCATGATTAAGGCTATGATTTTGATACCCCTCCAATAAAAAGAATTGAAGAAGCATGCGATGGGGGCGGGGGTGTATGTCCCGTATATACTCTGTTCCTTGCTATCTCTGTAAATATAAGCATAGGAAGAACACATGAAGACAACGGTATCTTACTGTATCCAACTTAATAGACCCTCCCTGGTGGGCAGACCTTTTGTGGCTGCATAATCATCCTGCCTATTTAAGGGAATAGGTCAGTTATGGGATTGGACCCACGTCTAGCTGCTCTGCTCACCACTGGAAAACCAGTGCTTAGGAGGTAAGAATTGGTAGGATGGGAACCAGTTTTTCAACAGCTGGCATCCTGAAAAGATAAGGGGGTACCTTGAAACCCCATCTCAGGCTGGGATTATCTTTAATCTCAGCACTTGGGAGGTAGAAGCAGGTGAATCTTTGTGAGTGTAGGCCAACCTGATCTATATAGCAAGTTCTAGGCCAGCAAGGGCTTCATAGTGAGATTCTGTCTCAAAAACAAACAAAAAAACCCCTCAGGAACTTAGGGACACAAAGGGCTTTCCTTGGGAGGGAAAGAAGAACTAGGGGACAGTGGACAGGAAGGCTTTGTGCTGGGTGGGGTCTTTGTCATCCAGGGCAGCATCTTTGTTTTTTCTTTGACTGGCACCTAGGAAGTTGGTACCTCAACTTCCTAGGACTAGTTCTTGGAGTTTTTTAGACAGATATATTACTTTTTAAAAGATTTTTTAAATTTTATTTTGGGGGGGGTTGGGGGGGTTGGGGGGGGACTTGAGACGAGGTGTCACAGATATCCCTGGCAGGCCTGGGACTCAGTATGTAGACCAGGCTGGCATCAACCTCAAAGAGATCCACCTGCCTCTGCTGGGATTAAAAGTTGTATCATCGTGCCTGGCTGATTTATTTTTATAGGTATGTGTGTGTAGCAATATGAATGCATGTCACATGTGATGGGGGCAGGGCATGGAGGCCAGAAGACGGTCGTGTAGAGCTGGAGTTACAGATGGTTTTTGTCCTGCCTGATATGGGTGCTGGGAATGAGTCTTCTGCAAGAGCAGCAAGTTTTGGTTTCTTGTTTTTTTGTTTTTTTTGTCTTTTTGAGACAGATTCCCCCTGTAGCCCCACCTAGCTGTCCTGGAACTCACTATGTAGACCAGGCTAGCCTTGAACTCACAGAGATCTGCCTGCCTCTGCTTCCAGGTGCTGGGATTAAAGGCATGTGCCACCACTCCTGGCTGGGATATCACTTCTGTTCTGCCTACTAAGTGCTAAATGAGGGCAGACAGTGGAGGATTTGGGAATGGAAGGCCTTGGAATAGTGAAATAAATAATGTTTTGTTCCTTTTTTCCTTAGAAGAGGGGTGGTCAAAGCATAGCTGGTATGTGTAATAAAATGCTTTTAAACCCTAATTAGGCTCCCATTATTGTTACGATTAGGAGTGTTAGCCTTATTTCAAAATTCCTTCAAGGGTGAATTGGCATCTAAGGAATAAATTACAAGCCAGTCTCCAGGCCAGGCATGGTGGCACACACCTTTAACCCAGCAATCTGGAGATGGAGATAGGTGGATCTCTGTGAGTTCAAAGCCAACCTGGTCCACAGGGCGAGTTCCAGGCCAGCTGGGGCTACAGGGAAACCCTGTCTCAAAACAAAACAAAAACCTAGTCTCCAACTTCTTGAAGAAAAAGAGGTTTGATGTTCCAAAGTCAGTTGGAGCCAGGTAGCCTGTATGATTCTATCAATGCTCCTTTCTGTTTGGGATGAAGTATTAATAGATTAATAGGTCTTTATGCAGGAGGCTAGGTCAATGCTCATATAAACGTCCTCCCTGTCCAGCTAGGACATAGTCTTAAGAATTTTGTTGTCCAACATAATTTTTGCCAGGAATCAAGAAATTCCTGTAAGTTAGCAGTTTTCTCAGAATTACGTGTCTTAGTCATCTTGTCCTTTTGAGTAAATATTTAAAATCCTCTAGGAGGGGGACGTCCAGGCAGAATCATTCTGGGTTATTAATAGTCCATCACATTCCACTTCTCCACCAGCTGTTCTTCAGGTGCTTGGGTTGTAAAGTCTTAGTGGCACTTTGTCTCCAGGAAAGTTAGAGTGGCACCTCCCTTGGGTGGGCAAACCTGAAAAGAACAAACTGATAAGATGCTTGTGTGGTCCAGCTGTGACATTGTTTAGTCTGAACTTCATTTCATGATATAAAATGTGGAGGCTAGGAAGGATCTTGTACACTTTCAAAGGAGCTTGATTTAAGACCATTTTGACATGCTACCCTAATTCAGAGCCAAGCAGTAGGCAAAACAGGACTGAAAATGTTTCTCCAGTTTAGCTAGGGTCATGTGGGTCCCTGTGGATTGCAGTCTGAAAATGCAATTGCCAACTTGTAAACTTTTCTTCATCTTTTACATGAATTCAGAAACAAACAGTGAGCCATTATCACTTTGGATAGAGTTCAGTGGCCCCAACCTGGGAATACTTTCTTTTGATTTTTGAGTAAGAGGCTCATTCTATATAGCCCAGGCTAGCCCAAAACTCAAAAATTGAGCCATCCCTTTTGTCCTCAGTTCTGTTAGGATAGGCTGCCCCAAGCCTAGAAAGTGTCCCAAAGTACAAAGAAAAAATTAAATTATGCTGTTTCAGGCATATACTTGTCATATGTACTAGTCAAACTTCAAAGAGACATAACTGTTATGTTGTGTCTCCTGTGTGGAGTGTGTTCGGCCTTCAGAGGCACCAGCCAGGAGTGCAGTGGTCTCTATTGCTCCCCTTCTTCAGTGTGAGCACAGTGTGTCCAGCCCAGCATGGCCAGCCTAGCATGGCCCTCCTTCCCCAAGTGCTGCTTCCAGCAGTAAATAGTTGCCAATTGTGGGTTGTCAGCAGTCACCCTGACAAGTCCAGCCTGCTGGAATAGGCCACATTAAAAATTTTAAGCAGTTCTGCCCAGCGTGGTGCCTTTAATCCCAGCACTTGGGAGGCAGAGGCAGCGGATCTTTGTGAGTTCAAGGCCAGCCCAGTCTACATAGTGAGTTCAGGTCAGCTGGGACTACAAGGAAACCCTGTCTCAAAAAGAAAAAAAAAAAAAAAATTCAAGCAATTCTGTTCCAAATCGGAGTCCGTTTCCATTATTAGTAGCGCGGTGACTGGATTTAAGATTGTGGTAGTTTGACAGGCAATATTTGTACTATCCAGTTTATGCTTGCCCTGGGGTCCTGTCTACCATTATGTCAGTTTGTGGCCCAAAAACTCAAGAATAGGCTGTATTAAAACTGAGCTACTTAGGGCTGGAGAAATGGATCACTGCTTAAGAGCACTTGCTGCCCTTGCAGAAAACCTGGGTTTGGGTCTCAGAACCCACATGGCAGCTCACAACCATCTGTAACTCCAGTTCTATGGGTTTTGACGCCATCTTCTGGCCTCTGCAGGCACTCAGGCCCTACATGCACATACATACAGGGAAGCCAAACACACATACACATCAAATAAAAATAAAATCTTTTGCCAGGTGTAGTGGCACATGCCTTTAATCCCAGCACTCGGGAGGCAGAGGCAGGCAGATCTCTGAGTTCCAACATAGTGAGTTCCAACTGGGGCTCCAGGGAGACCCTGTCTCAAAAAGACCAAAAAAAAAAAAAAAATCCTTTTTTAAGTGAAAAAAAAAAAATACTCTGAGGGCAGAAGCAGAATTTCTGAGTCCAAGGCCAGCCTGGTCTACATAGTGAGCCTAGGCCAGCCAGGGCCACATAGCGAGACGCTGTGGACACAAACAAAACAAAACTGAGCCGTTCATTTTACAAAGAAAAATAGTTACAGGAAGGAAAAGAAGAAATCCAGGCCAAACAAAGTGTTCTCCAAACGAATGTCCCATGAAGGAGAAGCTGGAAAGCTAGGCCTTAGAATCTGGTGTCATACCAAATGGAACCACAGATGACCTGAACAAGGGCTAAATGGCTATGTGGCTGTGTAAGTCCCAGACAATATAGGTAAAGGATTCCCATTGTGCACCAAGTGTTACCCAGACTAAAGTCCTTCCTAAAACCTCAGCAGCTGCCAAAGTCCTTTCGGTCTCCACGATGGGGTCAGCTTGCCACAAGCAGCTGGCTTTTCACAAGCAATCATTGCTTCCTACAGTAGAAATGGAGAGGGCTCCACAGCGCAGTTCACTGCTCTGGCTGGCTTGCCAAATTTGTTACCAGACATAGAAGGCTAATTCTTAGTAGGTAAGAATCCGAAGCCTTCTTCTGACCTCCAAGGCATTGCACAACACGGGTGCACTCACATATATGCAGGCAATACGCTTATACACATAAAGAATTGGTTGGAAGGAAATTAAACTTTTTATTCAAGGGCCAGCATTCTGAAAAGATGGGAGTAGGGTTATTGCTTGAGACCCTATCTCAAGAGACTCAGAAGCACAAAGCAGGGGCAGGGCCAGGAAGACTTCTGAGTAGATCTTGGCTGTCTGATACATGTGTCCTTTTCTCCCTGACTGGCACATCTCAGTAGACCCTGATGGAGGCTAATTTCTCAAGTTCTCTCGGCAGATTTTTTTTTTTTTTTTTAAGTATTCACTGTGTAGATCAGGCTGGCCTGAATCTCACAGAGATCTGCCTGCCTCTCCCTTCTGAGTGCTGGAATTAAAGGTGTGCACCACTACACCCGGCTCTCAG